TCTTGGTGTTCCTCTCGGTCTCGGTGACGTACTTCACCTGTTGGTTCTGGGGATACGGGATCTTCGAGTCCTTCGGAAGGCGAACGTGGCGACGCACCCTGACGGTGCCAGCCTCGACCTGCTCCATCAGCACTTCGGTGCCCTCCTTCCTCGCAGCCTCGGCCTAAGGTATCCAAGACGCTTCGTCGATGTCCTCATCGATCTTTGCCAGCGTTCGTTTCGTACTCGTGGTAGCGACGGCCTTGAAAGCGATGACGCTCTCAACGTACGCCCAGAACGCTGCTGGGTTGACCTTCTCCTGGCCCTTGACGACTACCCACTTAGATCGCATCTCGGGCGGGACGAGCTTCAGCTTGTAGTTGAATTTGTTGTACTTGGCCTTATCGCTGCTGAGGGTTGGCCGACTGGCATCATCTGGACCAGCATTCCCAAGAAGGAACTCTGGGTTCGAAGTGGCCGCGCCCGAGCTCGCTGCTCCACCGTCTGTCGCTGGCTCATGCTTGACAGCTTGAGGCCTGAAGAGGCACTTCACGATGGGCTTCGTTTTCTCCTCCATGCTGAACAAGACTGGGTTGTCGCAAAGCTTGAGCAAACATGTTCTGATACGCATGTTGTTGTCACGTTGTCACATTTGGCGGTGTAATCGTTGTTGGCGGCATTTGATTCGATGGTAACTGCTGTCATTGCTGACGGTTTTGTTTGTATCCTTGTTGTGCCGTTTCGTTTTTCGTTTACCAGACACGCACCAACGGGACCTCATCGGGGACCTCTTGAGAGAAGACAGGACGTACAAAACCCAAGAACTGAACTACATAACGGAGCAACAATGAGAACAATGATATTCACAAATAGTTGAAGTGCAGAGCGAACGACTTCCACAGATCTGAAATGCAGGACGGAGGGCAATTCCGGGAAGAGGTTAGAACCATGACAGGGAAGCAGGACGGAACACACAGTGGAGCAATGTTGGAGCACTCCTGGGGTCATCTTGGGGCCCCCTTGGGGCCCTCTCGGGGCCCTTCTGGGGCCCCCAACCCCGAGGTCGTTAGGCTTCCTGTGGTGAGTTTGGCTCCCAGACAACGCACCTCGGGATCTTGGGCCCATGGGGGGCCCCCCTGGCTTGCTGTCGCGCATGCTTGCTTCCCAAAGAACGTAAATGCACGATGCAAATCGTCACGAGACACCTCCAATGTCTAAGAGCTCATTGGGCATTGCGTCGACTCGCGACCCCTGCGATGCACGTGAACATCGCGCCCGACGCATCAGCTCACACCGATGCCTCAACCCACTCAAGGTCGCCCTTGATGTACTGGTGCACGAACTGCTTCGCATCGCTGTGCTTCTGGATGCGCTTGCTATTGATCATCTCGGCCAGTTTGGCGATGATGCTCATGCAAGATGCGTGTCCCCTCGAGGTGCAACCGACGACGTAGCTCATCGCGCGGGTGTTCTGCGCTATGTAGGACTCGCCAGGCCTCTTGTCAGATGCAGATCGTGTGACGACTCCGATTGGCAATGCGATGTCAGAATCTGCTCGATGGCGAAAATGAATCTTTGGGCCGACCTGCTTCGGGCGCTTCTGCTTCATGGGGGTGTGCTTGAGCTTACCAGGCTGCTGGGAGCTGCACGGTACGGCGGTGAGCGAGGTCTTCTTCCTGAGCCGACGCGTTGGTTTCGAGCATTTCCTTTGAACCAAGGTCGTGGTCTCCACCATGCCACGCTTCTGTCCGCCAATGCCTGGGGGCGGCACTGGCGCCTGGCATTCTGGACACATGCACTTGACGTGGACGACCTCGCAATCGTCATCGTCATCAGAGTTGCCTGCCTTGGTGTCCTGGTGTTTCGTGCACCCCGACTCCAGGATCTCCACCTCCTCGGACTCGTCCTCGAAGTCAGGGAAGGCAGGCATCGCTGGCGCCGCTGGCGCCGTGGAAAGCATCGGCACCGACGAGGCTGGCTCGGTCGAAGGCTTGGTGGTGATGAGCTTCACCAGGGGCTCCACCTTTTTGTCGTACACTCCTGACTTGCGGCATTGATGCACGTCGCCACACATCTTCCTCCATACGTCCGCCACTTCGCCTGCTATTGTATGCTTACCTTTGCCACTCTCGTCTTTGCCTAGTATTTGGTAGTCACCGTCGAACTTGAGGAGGGCATCCCGCAACGACTTGTACGTGGGAAAGCCAGTAGGGGCCTCTGCGAGAAGGCCCTTCAGCGGCTCCATGTACTTCACGAGGCCGTCCGAGCCCCCTCCCTGGCTCCGATCAGGGGTGCCGTAGTCGGAGCCGTCCCACTTGAAGCCAGGAAACTTCTTCCCAAGCAAAGTCTCCCAGCGTGCGTGCAGACCATTGGTCTTTATCACCGTCGATTGGGGTCGGTGTTTTCGAGTCGCCATGTGGGCAATCGCTCGGGCCAGAACAACTATGGCTGATGATGGGGTTTGTTGCCGTGCAGAAGCAGAAACAGAAGGGTGACCAATCCAGGGGATCCAGTCGCAGCAGCACAAACAGCAAACTTCCTCCTCCTCCTGTCTGCTGATCGGTAAGATCTTGTTTCCGCAAATTTCCATGAGACTTTGCTTCCGCCAGCTTCCGTTCTGTACAACCGCCCCTGTAAAGTGTTTCTTCCGCCAGCTTCCACCGATTCCCTCTCTGCTTCTGCTAGTGCACACATGCACCAGACGGGTCATCAGGAGCGAGAGTCGAGAGGTCGGCGACCTTTTGGGGTCACCGGACGCGTGAGCCATGCCAAGAACGCGAAGGGTTCAACAAGTCAAAAGTTATGGTTTAAACTCATCAGAATTAAAGAATTACGGAATTGTTTTTTCGAAATAAAAGTTAAACCAGCGTCTTTAAAACATTAAGGTGTTACTTAATTCCGTGGAGCGCACAACAACAAATTCTTCACGCTTCGCGCATCCCCGCCATCCCATTCCAGAACAGTCTCTTGTGCGAAGCATGCCGGCAGTCGTGGCTTTCGGGCGCGCCTCCTCCTGCCCACGCACATATCCTTCTACTTCTCTGGGTCTTTCGCTCTGGGAGGCTCTTAGAGGCATCTTGGGGATATCCCGGGACCTTCTTGGGGATATTTTGGAGGTCTCTGGGCCCGTTGGGGCCCTCTTGGGGCTCTTTGGGGGGGTCTGGGAGGTCTCTTGGGGCCATCTTGGAGGCGATCGATCAAAACAGGGACGAGCACTGTTCTCTGTCCCCCCGTCGGGTCCCGAAACCCTGTGAAATTACAGCATGCGGCGCCTTTTCGGCTGCCCATCTTGGACGCCCTGACGACCCGCGGAACGGCCTCTCCAGGTCCAGGGGGAAGGGGTAGGGCGAGGGGTCAAGTTACCCCCTCCCCGCCCACAAGCCGTCTCGCTCATTCCCACCCGCCCTCCCAACACATACGTAGCACCCGAGTCTGGCCCGAGCCTCAGCATATTCAGCAGTCGTCTTGGGATGGGCAGCTACTGGGGGCCAATCCGCCGCCGCCGCCGCCGCCGCCCCCCGCTGCCAAACCGCCGCCGCCGCCGCAGCCGCTGCCGCCACCGCTACCGCCGCCGCCGCAGCCGCCGCCGCCGCCGCCGCCGCCGCCGCCGCCGCCGCCTCAGCCGCCGCCGCCGCCCGCCGCCCGCCGCGCCGCCGCCGCCGGCCGCCCGCCGCGCCCCCCGCGCCAAATCGCCGCGCCGCCGCAGCCGCTGCCGCTGCCGCCCGCCGCGCCGCCGCCCCCGCCCCGCCCCTCCGCCGCCGCCCCCGCCGCCGCAGCCGCCGCAGCCGCCGCCACCGCCGCCGCAGCCGCCGCAGCCGCCGCCGCCGCCGCCAAGTGTACTTTGTATTGTTTTTTGACAAGGATGTTGGGGGGGGGCCGCATCGGGTTGGCTGCGCATGTTCCGAATTTGGAGGCAGAGTGTGTTTTGTATTGTTTGTTACAATGGATGGTGGGGGGGGGGTCGGCATGGACCCTGGTTGGCCCCCAGTCGCCTGGGGGAGGGGGTGTTTATTAATAGGGAACTGTGATAAACCCCTCCCCGAAGGGGAAGACAAGGGGTTGAGGACAGAGAGGGCTCCCTAAACCACTCACGCCCAGAGGGCTGGTGGGATTATAGAGTAAAGCCGCCGTCTGCCGCTGAGGAGGGGCAACACAAGAACATACGATACATGCCCAATCGGATACTCAGAGGGGAAATGCCGAACAGAGAGGACGAAATCTGCGCCCAACTAAAGCAAATGCACCACAGTGAAGGGCTTGCCTGTACGCTGTTGAGCAGGTGCTGCCTGGTGGACTGCCAGTCCATTAGGTGTAAGTCGGGCGTGTCCCTCTACAAGAGGAATGTTCAAAACTAGTCAAACAAGAGTCTGGGAAGGTTTTTGAGTATGTTTGACCATGTTTGAACACTGTTTGAGTATTGTTTTACAATTTTCGCCCAAAAGCGCCTGTTGGGGGGCATGCCCGACCTAACACTAGGTATGCTAGGCAGCCAGGGCAGTGGTGAGGCAGACGCAGTCAGGTGTCCCACCAGCCGGCATCGTAGCCCCACGTTCCTCTCCATCCCACCATAGTTAATCAAGGCCTGCACTAACAAGGGTGTGATGCGTGACAAGGTAAAATGACAGAGCAAGCGACGACATCATAGAGTGTGGCATGGCATGATGTAGGCTGGCGCTGCACTTTGGCCTGCCTAGCGTGATGAAGCGAGGGCATGCTGTCTTTGGTGTGAGAGCGAGCGTCTGGCAATCAGCGGCCCACAGTAGGGCTGACGCCCCTCCGCTGAGAGCCAAAATGGCTGCAGTTGTCAGTGCTGCTCCCCGTCCCCACCCAAAAGACCCCACCCCCGTCCCAGAGGACAGTAAGTTTGGCGAAAAGGCTTCTCCTCCTCCTCCTCCATCTCGCCCGTATCCATTTTGGCTCAAGGTCATTTCGGCTAAGGTTTCGGCCATCGAGCCGCAGGGCGATGGTGCTATGATGCGTTCGTCGAGCAGACCACGGCTTCCTGCTCGAGACGGCAGGACATGACCACTCGAGCACGCGGCAGTTACCAGCATCTCCTGCTGGCCGTTGGCGGCATCTGCGTGTACTGCCTTGGCGTTTTCCATGGCTCTTCCAGAGGCGTGGCTTCCCTTTCTGCAGAGCAGTATGGAGAGATAGCCTCTCAGGCCATGTTCCCGATGCAATCATTCGTTCCCGACCCGCTGGCGTCAGGCTGCAATTGGGACATCGTCTACCACGTGTGGTCGAACGTTAGTGCGACTGCGGGCTCCTGTGAGGAGGCAAATCCTTTCGTCGATTGCTGTGGTGATGGGCAGTGTGCAGGTTTTCTGAGACACTCGAGCCACTGGGGGCAGTGCTACAAGTTTGCCGAGATGCCTGATCAGCTGGTGGCGCATGAGTGGACTCCTGAACCGTTGGAGCTCTTTGATTCCGCAGCAGTGGCATCGCAGTGGAGCTTCTACCTGAAGCGTCCCGTCAAGGAGCCTGGCTCTGCGTCCTGGCCGTCGTCGGGAAAGCCTCCCCCCTTCCTCCGCCCCACCCCCGCACCCTCCTCGCCACCCCCCTCCGCTGAAGCTCGCCGCCCGGAGCCGCCGCTCCACACGCGGCCTCTGGAGCAGACCGGCACTGCCGAAGAGGTCCACGTCGTGTTCACCGTGGACTGCCGCCCGTTCAACCTGTGGCAGAGCGAGCTGCTGTTCTTCTCCGCCCTGTCGGCCGGGCAGCCCGGACCTCTGACCGCGATAGTCTCCGGGTGTGACGAGTCCATGAGGGACCACCTGCAGGAGCGCCACAGAGCCCTCGCCTGGCCCCCACGGTTCACGCAGTACTTCGTGGAGGCCTTCAATGACGCGACGTCGATATGGCTGAGCAAGCCGCACGGGTTCTACCAGTGGTACAGCAAGGCAGGGCCGTCAAGGGACGTCCTGGCCCTGGTGGACCCAGATTTTGTCTTCCTGCGCCCTCTGACCGCGAAGCTGGACACGGCCGCGGCGCCCCGCGACTGGGCGGGGCCCGTGCCAACTCGAGTGCAGAAGGGCTTTGTTGTGGGCCAGCGGTACGAAAATTTGAGGCCACAGTTGGATAGTACCCTGTATCACTTTAATTTCGAGGGGCACAATATGAGTGAGGACGAGTTCCTGAGTTGGGTTTGTAGCGGTGACAAGGACGGGGAGACAGGCTGCAGAGGCCTGACACTCTACGAGTTTGGCACTTTTCATGGCTCTGGGGTGCTCTACATAGCGCACCGGGATGACTGGGACTGGCTTGCGCCAGATTGGAACAGCATCAACGCACGGTTGCACAAGTATGCGCCCAAGGGTTATTACATTGATATGTGAAGTTGGAGTTTGGTCACTGCTCACAGAGGTCGTCGGCAGTTCATTCAGGAAAATCTGATGCTATCGTCCGCTGTGGCTTCTTTCGAAGACTGGCAGGCCGTTGAAGCCCTGCGCGTGGACGCGTGCTACACGGACGTCGAGGAGATCCTTTCGTTCCTCATACCAGGTCGCTCGCCGCAGCAGGCGCTACCTGGTCATCAAGCCCCCAATTTTCTCCACTATTGTCTCCCCATCTACGTGCCTTACCCGAGCTTCAAAGACCAGGACGGCGGACGTCTGTGGAGCAAGTACTGGTTCGACTGGGGCGTGGAGAGAGGCAGGCCGCATGCGCTGGAGCGGTGCAATGACACTGCGAACGCACCCATGGTTGGTCCATACCCAGCGCTGAAATGGTTCAAGACGTCATCTCCAAGGCGGGCGCAGCCAAACCAGTCGATGCCGATCACCGAGCTGCGGAACCGGTTCCTGGGGTGCGTTGCAAAGGGTATATTTAGGAAAGCGGTCCAGGCTTTGTGCCCTGGGCAACCAATGGCTAGAGACGTCATGGAGTCGACGGACCCCCTGGACGAGTGAGCTGCGCTTCCTCGAGGGAGGAGGGGTGGAGGAGAGGAGGAGGAGCAGAGCGGCCTTGCCTCCCGAGAGGGCGGCGGCTTCCCAGAGGGGGCCGGCCCCTCTCCACACGGTGCCCCGTGCACTATCCAGTAGACGGGGAGCCCTCTGCTCGTTTCATTGTTGGCCCTCTGCCGCCGCCGCCGCCGGTGATGTATGGACGAGACGTGGGGCGGTCTGCACCGACGAGGGATACGGTAAACCCATAGTGAGGGCGGGCAACCTTCCCAAGGGTGCCCTTGCGCCCTGGCCTCGTCGGTCCATCCTCGGACACTTTCGTTGGCCGCGCCCCGCTTCAAAAGCTTCGAAATGGGCGTCCAAGGCCCTTGCACCCTTACCGCGCGTCCTTACTGTTCCGGTTTGACTCTAGACGGTGCACGGGCGATGCATCTCGAGGACGAACAAACGGCATCAGCATAGACTCTTGGCGCTCCGCGCGGATTTCTTGGATCCGCGCCAGGCTCCCCCGGCGGCGCCCCCAGCGCCGCTCCTGACGCGCTCCGCGCGCCAGGGAGGGGGGTCCAGCGCAGATCCAAGAAGTCCGCGCGGAGCGCCAAAAGTTGATGCTTATGCCGTTTTTTCCTCTTCCAGCATCGGCCGTTTAAGGTCGATGCATCCCTTTTGACGCCTGTCCCCCCCCCCTCCCCCCCTGTCGTTGCATTTCATCTGGGCCTCCTCCCAGATGAGGCTGGAGCAGATATGGAGTCGGCTCAGCCTATGTTGAAAATTTCAAGATGATTCAATCGGAGGTATTGACTACGGGACGAGAGCCGGACCCCCCCCCCCTCCCCCCCTTGCGCCAAATGACGAAACCCAGAATACATAAACGCTCACCATCCTCGAGCGAGCACGAGGGAAGTGGCCTTGGAAAGGAGGGGCGACGCTTGCGGCAGCCTGCGGGTAGACGGATGAGGGGTCCCGCGCGAGGGTTCGAAGAAGCCTTATTTACCAGACAGCCCTTGCTATCCTTCCACGCCTCAGCGTGCCAGGGGGCACGGCGGCCTTTTTTTTTGGGGGGGGGGGACAAGAGCTGGCAATGTGGGGGGCTGGAGTCAACAAGGAGCGTCCAGGACATGCAGCACGGGCACGAGCAGTCTTGACACTCCGTGGAAGACGGGGCCGCTCTGCGCCCGTGTCCCCGGGCCCCTCCGTGCGGGGGCCGGCCCCCGTCCCGCGCCGACCCGCCCGCCACCCCCCTTTGCCGGCCTCGGCATCCGAGAGTGCCCAGCCCTCGCCGGTACCCTCGTTTCGGGCAGCTCGCTGGGCGGCGGGGGGGGGCTGTCGGCCCGAGGAGCACCAACGGGGCCCCTGCCAAGACGCGCCATGCTCGCCTCTTGGGTTTGCCAGTTTGCAACATATCCCTATCCCCATGTTTGACATCACCTCACCCCGATGCCGATCTGAAGGATTCCCTCAGTTTCTGAGGGCCCATCCCTAAGATTGTCCTCGCTTCTTGCTCGCCCATCTACAGGATAGGGATAAGTTCGAGGCTGGTTATGGATGCTCTGGGTTTCTTGGGTTCCGATGGTTTTGCTGTGGAATGCGTGACAGTCCCACACCAAACATCGATGGACGTCCTAGGGTCTCAGTGTTGGGTTTCTCGTGTGGAAGGTTTCTTGTGGTCTGGCCTCCACTTGTATGAGATGGCGGTCGGTTCGGGGAGGGTGCCGTGCCTGTCGTGTGTTTTTGACTATCGTGGGGGAGGGTGCCCTCGGGTGTTCTTCGAGTTGGCCGGCGGAGGCTCCCATGCTCTTGGAGGATGCTCTTCTGGCCCAGGTCCGGCGGTAGGGCTCGGAATTCTCGGAGGATCTGTCCCTGCCCTGACACGTCGATTAAGGAATTGGCCGTTTTCGCTTCGCGAGAGGGCGTCGCGGCCGTCATTTTTGCGGGTCCAGGTCCGTCGGTTTCGGTCCCGGGCCGTTTTAATTAAGGAGAGGTTTACTGAAGGGAGGTTTGTCCACCGCCGAATTCTTGGAGGAGGGAAAGTTCCCTACACCATGTGCACGTTTTTCGTTTCCGCCTCTTGTGGCCTCCTCGGAGGCCCGCGTCGCCACCGCTGGAGTCCGCCTCGAACGTCTGGTCAGAGCGCGCCCCGGGAGAGGTCCGAGGCGTGGCAGCGTCGGTGCCCGTCGGTCTCCCCGACCTCGTCGAGCACGCGGCGACGCCCGAGCCTTGCCCCCGCCTCTCCTGGGCTCGGGAGAGTCGACGGCTGGTGGGGCAGGGCTCGGATGCCACCACCTGCAGTCGGCGGTCGATTGAGAGGGGAAAGTGAGAAGGAGAGGGCATTCTCAGAAGGCTCGGAAGTCCCCCAGCCTTCCAAGGAGTCTTCTAAGCCTTCCCCGAGGACAGAGGACACTTCTCAGCAGCAGGCGCGAGGGCTTCTAAGAAGTCCCGCCGCCTTCTGAGAAGACCTTCTCCTTCTCACTTCCCCCCCTCGCTCGCCGCTGATACAGTCAACCCGCATATTAAGGATGAGCAACCTTCCCGGGAGTATCCTTGCGTCCTTGCCTCCTCGCCCCAGCCTTTGCCTTTTTTGTTGGCCGCGCCCCGCTCGAAAAGCTGGACATGGCCGTCCAAGGCCCGTGCGTCCTTGTCGTTCAGATGCATCCTGAATCCGACCTAATCGGGCTTACTCCCGCTCAGTCGGGCTTGATCCCGCTGAGTCTGGCCTTGTCCCGCTCAGTCCGCGGCCCAACCCGGCGTAGCAGCCAGGCACTGGGGCTGAGTTCTCCGTAGTTATTTCCGACGAAGACCTCAGTGCATCCCGAGCATCCTGCTCCGCCAGCGGTTGTCTCCCAATGTGTCGTGCTTCTTTACTATGATGACACGGGCCCACTGCCGTGTGGCCCCCCCCCGCCGGCAGGCCCAGCTGCTGCTCCTGACCCGCGAGTGGTACATGCACCCGAACGGGCAGCTGCCAGCCTTCGAGTGGAACTTCAGCGACGTTAACCCGCCGGTGCCCACGAGCTGCCCTGCGGATACGTCTTGTCGGAAACTGGAACGTATACATTACCAGTGGCGGGCTGTTTTTCAATCCCAGGATTTTTTGAGGGTCGAGGACGACGTCGGGGTGGTGTGGTGTATACCTGTTTCCCCGTTTTCCCGTGGAAACAACCAAACATGTATACACCATGATGCCGTATACACCAGAATCCGTTTTTGATGCGGATCTCAGTGCGGGTTCGGAAAAAAGCATCGGTGTATAAAGTTCGGTTCCTCATATTGGCCCCCGGGGCCCGCCTGTAGCCATAGAGTCAAGTCGGGCATGTCCCTCGACAGGAGGAGTATCCAAAAGTAGTCTAGAACTTGTCGGGGGACGACGTTCCCACTATTTTTTGCTGAGCCACTTTTGTGCATCTTCTGCTGATTGTTACTCCACGACATGTTTTTAGAACATTTCTGGCCGAGACTGTCTTAATGCATCCCGTGTATGTTCTAAGAAGACTGTCTTTGTTTTTGGAACATGTCTGGGTTCTAAGACAACTTCGTGGTAGGCCTATAGAAACGCCGGGACGGTCGGTCCCTGTTCTAAATTTCGTTCAGAGCACTCTGGAACGCTTTCAGAGCGTCCCGGAGCGTTCTGAGAAGGCCGCCGCGCCCGAGACATCCTCCAGAGCCGCTGGATCTCAGAGATTCTCGATGTATCCTCACCCTAATTTATTCTCGTCCTGGCTTCTTCGCACCCAGTACGGATTTTGAGCGGATTTGGCCTCACCCACCCCCCAGTCGACCCCTCCGGCCGTGGTGGTGGACAAACTCCCGCCTCGGAGAGCGGGAGAAGCAGGGACCGTTGAGATCCGCCATATCTGGATTCACGAGCGGCGACGAACAAGAATCCGTATCCGCGCCCTCGTGGTCCGATCCTGCGCATCGATACGCGGTCGCGCGGGTAGGTTCCGCGCCGGGCATCCCCGCGACAAAAGCGCCCCGCATCCGCGGGGCCGCGGCCCGCGAGGCCATGGGTCTACAGTCGGGGCCCTGAAGAAGGAACCCTTTTCGTTGGGGAGGGGCTCCGTGTTCCTGAATTGTTTCGCAGCTTGCCTTAGGTTCTCCTTAGGCTTTCGATCTGAATTCGAAGTTTAACTTGTGGAAAATAGGGGCCTCGTTCCTTAGTTAGGGTTCCTGAGGTCAACGCCCCGACTGTGCGGATGTGTGCTGCTGCCGCCCGCGAGGTGCACGCGTGGGCGACGTGGCGGGTGTTCCAGATGGAGCCCGGGAGCAGCGCTGCAGCCCACCCTCAACCCAACTCCCTCCTCCCTCCTCCCTCCTCCCTCCTCCCTCCTCCCTCCTCCTCCTCCTCCTCCTCCTCCTCCTCCTCCTCCTCCTCCTCCTCCCGCACGGTAAGGGTGGGCGACCTTCCCAGGGGCACCCTTGGCACATCCTCGCCTTCTCGGCCCAGCCTTGGCCGCTTTCTTTGGCCGCGCCCCGCTCGAGGAGCTTCGGCAAGGGAATCCAAGGCCCTTGCACCCCTGTTTCGTGCGTCCTTACGATACGGGTCGACGCTAGCCATCAGGGACAGCGCTTGGAGACGAAGCCTCGATCCTCGAGCACAAACGAACCCCTAGCCCGACACGATGAAGACGTGGCCTCACTGAGGTCCCCGAGGTCCCCGTCTTCGCATCAGGGATCATACATCTGGGCGGTTTGGCCTGATACAGCTGCAGCCAAAAAGACCGCCTGTCCCTAGTGCGTTTGTCCTCCCAAAAAGACCCCCTGTTCCTAGTGTGTTTGTCCTCCCTCACTTAGGTCCCCCCCCCAAAGGGTCAGGGGTCCTGCTCTGGTGAATCACTCGAGGCCCGAGGTCCTCGTGGGCTGTCGTCGGCTCCCTTTGGCGACCCCTTTCGCCTCGGGGTGTGCCCCGTCCGCTGCCGCGCCTCGCCGCGAGGGCGCTCCGGGGGCGCCCGGACCTTCCCGCACGGCCGCCCGAGGCCCGAGGCGGGGCTCGAAAAGCCGTGCTCGACGAGGACTACTCTTAAGTCGGGCCTGTCCCTCTACAGGGGGAATATTCAAAGATAGTAGCAAAATTGTCTGGGGACTATTTTTTGAGTATCTTTGGGCTCCTTTTAAGCATTTTTTGAGTATTTCCTTTTTTCCGTCCAAAATCCCTTTGTAGGGGGACAGGCCCGACATAAGACTGCTCACGAGCACTGTGCAGGGGAGCAGTGTAGAAAGCCCAGGGTTCGCCAGGGACTGGCTTTCCCCCCTCCAAGCGACGAGCACCCTTTGCAAACCCTCGCCGGGCCCGCCGAAAGGCCTCCCTGGAGCCCGTTTCGGAAAGTGATCGGAGGGTTTCGGGAGGGTTTCGGCTGTTTTCAACGGGAACCAGTCCCTAGTGAACTTTGGATTTTCCAAGTGTAGGTTCAGGGGGGGAATGCATCGACATCCAATCGCCCATGCATCGCTGATAATCCGGAGCCATATAGCACACCCCGCCCACGAACGTTAGGATTAGGTATCGGGGGCCTATCGCCGATCTATAGGCGATGTATCGCTGGTTCCAGGTCGATGTTCCCCACCCTGAGCTAGTCCCCCCCCCTAACGTTGCCCTTCAAGTCAGATGAGGAAATGGTACCGAGATATACCGCTGCCCTGCCCTCTCGTACGCCCCTGCCCTCTTGTTCGCCTCTCGTCGCCACGTCCGGCCTCGCCTCGGAATGCCGGTCAGCACGCACCCTGGGAGAGTTTCGGCGAGTGGCGGCATCGGCGTCTTGCAGTCCCCTGGGGGACTGGCACGGGAGGGACAGGCTCAGGGCGTGTCGGGCGTCTCTGTCGGTTGTGCCGGAGATTCGTTACGATGCCCCGCGAAAAAGAAGGGGATCTCTGGAGTTCCTTTTTCCCAACCATCCTGTGGTGTTGGGTCCTCGTTTTGAAGAGACGGTGCCCCGCGTCTCTCCTCCTTCCTTCCTTCCTCCTCCCCCTCCTCCCTCCTCCCTCCTCCCCCTCCTCCCTCCGCCCCCTCCTTGCCTTTGCCGGAGATTCGTTACGATGCCCCGCGAAAAAGAAGGGGATCTCTGGAGTTCCTTTTTCCCAACCATCCTGTGGTGTTGGGTCCTCGTTTTGAAGAGACGGTGCCCCGCGTCTCTCCTCCTTCCTTCCTTCCTTCCTTCCTCCTCCCCCACCTCCCTCCTCCCTCTTCCCTCCTCCCCCTCCTCCCTCCGCCCCCTCCTTGCCTTTGCCGGAGATTCGTTACGATGCCCCGCGAAAAAGAAGGGGATCTCAACCATCCTGTGGTGTTGGGTCCTCGTTTTGAAGAGAGAAGGGGATCTCTGGAGTTCCTTTTTTTTCTCTCCAGTTCCACGGCCTGGAAGTGCAGTCGCGGCGACGAGAAGCCCCCCCGGGAGGCCCGAGCGAGCGAGCTCCAGGGCGCTGCAGCTGCGCTGCTTACCAGCCTCGAACGTATCCCGATCCCTAAGATTGACACGCCCAAAGGCGATGACAATCCTAGGGATTCGCCCTCAACAATGAGGGAATCCCTAAGATTGGCATCGTGATGAGGAGGTGCCCAGCATAGGGATAGGGATCTGTTCCAGGCTGGTAAGTTGCAGCAGCCGCGGCTCGCCGAGAGGCGCCCCAGGGCGTCCCGATCGCGGCCCCCCCGATGGCCAGGCGGCGAGGAGCCTCCCGGGGGGCGGTCTGGCCCAGGGTGAAGTCGTGCGAGGCCCTCCGCAGGAGGAGTGTCCAACAGTAGTAAACCAGTCTGGGGACGATGTTTCGACCATGTTTGAGCATGTCTTGAAGATTGTCGATGGTTGTTAAGTTATCACCCAACCTGGAAGTCGGGCGTGTCTCTCTTTAGGAGGTATACTCAACAATCGTAAAACATGTTGTCTGGGGACGACTGTTTGCGCATGTTCTGGCTATTTTTTATTTGAGCATGTTCTGGCTATTCTTTAGGGTGCTTTTTGAATATTTTATTGATCGTCCAGAATTCCGCCTGTAGGAGCACACGCCCGACCTGATCCCAATCGCCCTTGCATCGCCCACGGGGGGCTGATGGCCTCATTGCCATCTAGGCCTCCCGGAGGGGTCGGAGTGCAGCTCGGTATCGGTTAACCGATTCCCATCCCCATCTCCGTTTCTTTCGAGACCGCTGCCAGATTACCACCCCAGTGGGGGATGCACCCCTCGAAACCCGAAGAGAACGACCTATATCCCCATCTAGGGGGGTACATCGGTCAGCGGGGCCCAGGCCACGCCGCTGGGGATGGGGATCGGTTCAACGATTCTCACAGTGGGTGCCCTCCAGGGTGCCCTGGGCTTCTTTGGTTTCGATGGTTTTGCGATGAAAGCCGTGACGTTCCCACATCAGACATCAACGGGCGCCCTGGGATCTCAGGGTTGTGTTTCTCGTGGAAGGTTTCTTGTGGACTGACCTCTACTGTGAATGGGGTCCGAGGATCGCGCCGCATCGCCGATGCATCCCCGATGCATCCCCGATGCAGAGCCCGATGTGCTCCACGCCGACGTCGACGATGCATCGTCGGTGCATCGCTGGTGCATCGTCGATGCGCCGCCGATGCACCGCCGATGTTTCGGCGATGCGGCGCGGTCCTCCGACCCATCTACGACGACCCCATCTAGGAGGCATCTATTCAGAGCCCCGAATCATCAGGGGTAGCTCGGGTCAGGGCTAACTCGGGTTCGTTTTTCGGGATTCCGTCCCCGACTTACCCCGGACCCGACTTACCCCGGATAATTCGGGCGTCCAGAGCCCCGAATCATCAGGGGTATCTCGGGTCAGGGCTAACTCGGGCTCGTTTTTCGGGAATCCAGACCCGAATCACCCCGGACCCGAGCTACCCCGGATAGCTCGGGCGCCCAATCTGTACCATGCCCCCCAGGAATGTTCATGCCAGCCTGGTTTTCCCCCAGGAATGTTCGTGCCAGCCTGGCGGTCCTCCCTGCCCGAGCCAGCTCCTTTCTCTGCTGTCGTTCCCTCGCAGGAGCGCAAGCGGCGGGGCGACGACGGGGACCTCTTCTTCCTGGAGGAGGCGCGCGGAAGAGGAGCAGGAGGGGGAGGAGGAGGAGGAGGAGCAGGAGGGGGAAGAAGAAGAGGAGGAGGAGGAGGAAGAGGAGGAGGAGGAGGAGGACGAGGAGGAGGAAGAGGAGGAGGTGGAGGAGGAGGAGGAGGAGGAGGAGGAGGAGGAGGAGGAGGAGGAGGAGGGAGGGATAGTATATTTTTGGATTCCCAGGTTCCAGTCGACTTTCAGGGCCTTCCTACTTCAATGTTCGAGTGGCTTCACCTTTTCCGTCCTCTTAGGGGGCGGGCGGGCACCACATCTTTTTGTCAACGCCTTCCTAATTTCATGGTTCTACCTACTTCTTCTGACCGATGGGTACGCACATGTTTCGGAGATCCGCGCGGATCTCTTGGATCGGCACTAGATCTCCTGTCGGCGCCTCCGAAATTGTGTATTTCTGTTGAGTTTCCTTCCAGAGGTGTTCCACAAGCTGATGATCAACTTCACCTGGTGGGTCAACCGAAAGGACCCTCAGAGAGGGAGTCTGTCGAGGAAGCGCAAGCATTGATTGAGGCGCGTGGGCTAGCGACGGGGCCCGTTTGTCATACGCATCGCCAACCCAGGCGGCATGTGCGCCGTGTTCCGGGGGGAGTCTTCCTGGTCCGTGGATTTGGCGCCGGGTCGCCAGGTCCACCGACGTAAATCCATGCCAAAGTGTGCCCGGGTCTTGGCACTACTGTCAAAACCGATGGTAAGGATGAGTCACCGTCCCAAGGGTGCCCTTGCACCCTTGCCTCCAAGCTTCGGCACTGGCGCCCCAGGGGATCTCGAATCCTCATCTTACCAGCCTGGCACAGACCCTTTTTCCCCATGGTTGGCACCGCCCGATGTGGGTGCCGATCTGCAGGCTTCCCTCAGATTCCCGGGTCGCAGCCCCAAGATTGCCATCGCGTCTTGGCCCGTTAATCTCAGGGATAGGCTGGGAGTAGAAGCTCGTGGCTGGTTCTCATCCCGTGCATCCCCAGACATCCGACGTCTCGATTTTTTCGAGACGCGGTCCTCCGACCTCCCGACCACTTCCCTGGGACCGGCTTTTCATCCCGAGTCGTTTTTTGACGGTCCCGAGGCCCGGCGAGGGCCCCGAGAGGTCGAAAACTATGAAAAGCATCCGTCTCGATTTTTTCGAGACGCCCGATGCCTGGGTCCTCGTTCTTCGGAGTCTTGTATTGACCGTGCCGCCGCTGCCTGGGCATGGCGCCGCTCCCGGCTCCGAGCCATGGCGTGCAGCGTCTCGGCCAGCCTGCTCGGCCCGGGAGGGCGTGGGCACTGCTGCCGGGGGTGCCCGGGGGACGGCCCCGACCAGGCACATGTCGGGGGCAACGACAGGGGGGGATAGGCATACAGTGCCGTTTTGAACACAAATGCAGGGACTGAGTATTCAAAAACCAACGATGAGTTCATGCATACATTTATTCATAAACTAATCATGTGTTCAAAATCCTATACGTTGAAAAGTCCTATGTATCAAAAACTGCCCTGTAGGGGGGATGCAGCGGCCCCGATAATCGCCCACTGATCGCCGATATGGGGCCCGAGAGCCCCACCCCGCCCAGGAAGGTGCGGGCTCTCGCTCTCGGGGTCCCATCGCCGATCTCTAGCGGCGAGGCAGCGCCGATGCCAGGTCGATGCATCCCCCCCACATGCCCATGACCGTTGCCCCTCAGCACTTGCGGGCGCCGGTGCACGGCTGCCCTCGTGTCCGGCAGCCGGGCCGAGGAGGAGCAGGTGCCGATAGCCCGTTGCCCGTCCCGCGTGCTCGCCCTTGCTGGGGCCTCCCGGGCAGGCCCGCATCGCCACGGCCGGGTTCGCCTCGACATTCTTCAGGAGGGAAAAATAAACACAGACACAATTAATCGTCGATTCCCAGAAAGTTTTTGGGAAATATGGGAAGTGGGGGGGAAGTCAGAAACCCAGAAAATATAGGAAAATATGGGGAATCCTTTTATTTGCGTGTCGTTATATGTGTGTCCCAGGGCCCCTTCAATTCTGTGCTTGCTCAGAGCGCGCCCCGGGAGAGGCCCGGGAAGTAGACAGTCCTCTCGCACAGCAAGGAGGGGCAACCTTCCCAATGGTACCCTCGCATCCTTGCCTCCTCGGTCCATCCTTGGCCATTTCTGTGTGGCCGCGCCCCGCTGGAAAAGCTTCGAGACTGGCCTCAGCGACTTTCGCTGGCCAACGTCGTTCGTAGAACGTTCACAGGGGCCTCCAAGGGTCTTGCATCCGTGCCGCGCATCCTTCTGATACTGGTTGACTGTAGCGACATCGGTGCCTTTTGATTTCCCCGCTGGCGGCCCTCGCTGCAGCCAGAGGACGCCGAGGGGCGGAACATCTTCCAGGGCGGATTCCTCGGGCTCGACAACATCGGCGTGTTCGACCGTGGCGGGGAGCTCGGGGCTTGGAGGAGAAACGGCACCACCACCACCACCACCATTCCTCTTCCTCATTTCGGCGGCGAGCTTTCTCAGAAGGCGGCGGTGCTTCTCAGAAGCCCTCGCGCCTTCTGAGAGGTGTTCTGTGTCTTCGGGGGAGGCTCAGATAACTTCTCAGAAGACCGGGGGGCTCCCGAGCCTTCTTAGAAGGCCCGCCCCTTCTCACTTCCCCCCTGGGCGCGCCGCCTATCCTTCTTCTGTACCGCCCTGACCTTTTGCCCCCTTTTCGATATGGCCTACAGTCGGGGCGCTGAAGAAGGAACCCTTGTCGTTGGGGAGGGGCTCGGTGTTCCTTGAATGTTTCACAGTTTGCCTCGGATTTTCCTGAGGTTTTCCATGGGAAATCGAAGTTTAACGTATGGAAAAAAGGGGCCTCGTTCCTTATTTAGGGTTCCTTAGGTCAACGCCCCGACTGCATGCGGGCTTCTCTGGATTCTCGATGAGTTCTCCCGCACTCTCCGCGGAGGTCGGGAGGCGTGGGAGGCGGTGGACAGGCAGACCGACGGAGGCCCGGTCAGACCAGGTGGTTTGGCCCGTAAGCGGGATCCTCCTCCTCCTCCTCCTCCTCCTCCTCCTCTCCGTTTCTTCCTCCTCCTCCTCCTCCTCCTCCTCCTCCTCCTTCCCCTCCTCTCCTCCTCCTCCTCCTCCTCCTCCTCCTCCTCCTCCTCCACCTCCGTTTTTTCTTCCTCCTTCCTCCTTCCTCCTCCTCCTCCTTTTCCTCCTCCCCTCCTCTCCTTCCCCTCCTCCTCCTCCTCCTCCTCCTCCTCCTCCTCTCCTCTCCTCCTCCTCCTCCTCCTCCTCCTCCTCCTCCTCCTCTTCACCTTCCTCCTCCTCCTGAGGCTACAGCGCAGTGCCCTGAACGAGCCCGCGCGCAACGGAGAGCAAACGTTGTGTCTCTGGGGTGGAGGGTGAGGGAGTACAGTGGGGGCGCGCATCAAGAAACCGTATGCTTTTCGTCAGGGCATCTTGGGTTTCTTCGCTCCTCGCGCTGCGCGGTGAGTTCCCGCAGCCGTTGAAGGAGTCGCTGCGTTCAGGGTTCTCCGGGTGTCCCCTCGGGTGCACCTCGCGCACGGGTTCTCAGGGTTGGGTTTCTTGCGAGGGTTTCTTGCGCCTGCGCCCGCACTGTATCGGGTCGGCCGAAAGGGGGGGGGAGGATTGTGGGAGTGTGCGACAGCTGCTACATGCAGCTAGTTTCGTCACCGTCTCCGAGCGTTCTGCTCGGTATACGTTCGCGCTTCTGCCGCCAGGAGGCGGCGCCGGAGGTATCTGCTACACGAGCTGATTCGCTAGCGCCCCAGTTGATGCCCCCATCCGTTCCTGGTTGGCCCAGATGGGGGTCCAGCGAGAAGAGGGTGGCGCAATAGATTTGGTGCAATAGATTTGCGGGGGTGCAATCGGTTCGCGGCGCGCAATGCATTCCAGCGTGCAAATGTATTGTTGGATTTTCGCGTGCAAAGCGTTGGTGGCGGAGCAATGCCATACAATCCTCCGTCGCAGTTCATGTGCAATGCACTTGCCCCAAACCTACGGCGCCACCCCTCGTAGCTGGATCCCTGTTCGGGCCCGCCAGGCCCCTTCGTCCGACCCGACACTGTCGGGCGACCTCCAGCGACGAGGCCCACGACGGCCTCCCGGAGCCAGAAATATCAGGCCGCCAGGCCCAGGCGTCCCACGACTCAAGTCGGGTATAGCCAGGACCCCAGGAACGGGGACCCGGCCAGAAGTAGGGCCCCGGAGCCTCTAAGCTGGCCAGAATCACTACACCAGGCCCGCCGTAGCTGGTGTTTTTTCGTCCCGTTTGTGGAACGGAGCCGGGGGGGCGTCCCCCAGTCCACGTCATGAAACCAGGTCACACTGAACCCAGTTCTGCCAACGCCCGATCAAGCATGGTGGCATGGCGGAGACCCGCGCGGCTGCCCGTGTCGCTGCACATGGCCCTCTCCCCACGGGCAGCGCGCCGCGAGAGGGACGGAGCCCGGGGCAGTGCGGAAGGGGGGAGCGGATCGTGCGCGCAGACGCGAGCGAGCTGAGCTCCCCTTGTCGAGTGGCCTCCGGCCCATGCCGCCACCGTGCCTGCCTTGTGGGTATGAAGCCTCTCGGAGGTTCGTTGAGATCTCGTGGGGGGCCTCTCGGGGCCGCTTGGTCTCTTGGGGCCTCTTTTGGTCCTCTTGGGGATCTCTTGGGGCCTCGTGGGGGCCTCTTAGGGGCCTCTTGGGCGTCTCTTGGGCGTCTCTTTGGCGTCTCTTGGGGCCTCCTGGGGTCCTCTTGTGGCCTCCTGGGGGGCTCTTGGGGCGGAAGATTGGATTCTCGGTTGGTGTTCCCTCTTTTGGGCCATTTTTGGGGCCGTCTTGGGCGCCTCTTGGGCCGTCTTGGGGTGCTCTTAGGCAGTCTTGGGGCCCTCTTAGAGGCTTCTTCGTGGAAGTTTAGGAATGGTCTTGGGGCCTTCTTGGAGCGTCGGAAAGCGGAAAAGGTGAGAACGCCGAAATCTATACACATCTGTGTGTGTACATATATATACACATATCACCATCGGAAGTCAATACTTTCTGTCTGCTGGGGCCCTCTTGGGAGGTTCTTGAAGGCATCCTGAGGCGTCTTGGAGGTCTCTTGGGCCATCTTGAGGCCATCTTGTGAATCTTGTTGTGTGTTTTTGTTGGCGTCTCGTGGCCCTCTTGGACCGTCGTGGGGGCCTTGTGGGGCCCTCTTGGCCCGTCTTCGGGCCCTCTCGGGTCCGGAAACATAATGCGAGAACACTGGAATTCCTGGAGCCCAGGCGGCACGCGGGAAGCCCCTGGAGACTTGGCAAGTTGGGTTCCGGCCCCCTTCAAGCCTTCCCAGGGTGAAGAATGAGGCTTAGAGAGGAGGAGGAGGAGGAGGAGGAGGAGGAGGAGGAGGAGGAGGAGGGGAGGAGGGGAGGAGGGAGGAGGAGGAGGAGGAGGAGGAGGAGGAGGAGGAGGAGGAGGAGGAGGAGGAGGAGGAGGAGGAGGAGGAGGAGGAGGGAGGAGGAGGAGGAGGAGGAGGAGGAGGGAGGAGGAGGAGGAGGGAGGAGGAGGAGGAGGAGGAGGAGGAGGAGGAGGATTAGGCACGGGACCCGACGAAACACGCCCACTCCGTGCCCAGAGGCACGGTGGCGGACAAGTGGCGATCCAACGCGAGGGTGCGCCGAGATTTGTTCGGGGCTGCATTCAAGGACTTCCACTGAGACCCAAGAAGGAGTTGCCTGTGGGGCGCGATCCATGTGAGCGGCGTGCACAGGGTTGGGTGACCAGCACGTGCCACCAAAGCGGCTCCCGACCAAACTTTCACGTCGGCCCCGGGCAACTCTCAAGGACCATAGGCGCGCTCATCACGTTCGCCACGGTTCTCGCGAGGCGTGTGCCGACATGGGCTGCGTCGGTGCAGGAGCACGATTCCGATGAGGGGTCCCGAACAAAGACCCAGCACACAGGAGGGCGGCGGCAGTGAGGTTGATCATGGATGCGCGAGGAGGGATGAGACGCGCGGCTCTGCGAATTCAAAACGAGGTCCCATCAACGTAGGATTAGGTCGGGCCTGTCCCTCTACATGAGGAATGTTGAAACATAGTCAAACAATAGTCTGGAGATGGTTGTTAAGATTAGTTTCAATGTTAATATATATATATATATATATAGAGAGAGAGGTATCGTCCAAAATACGACATGCCCGACCTAAACATAGGAGGGTTGGGGTGGAATGCAGAGGTGCCTGGCAGGTTGCGGCCTCCAGGGCGCCTTCGCCTGGCTCCTGGGGCCCTCAAAACAAAAACGACGCCTGATGGCACGCCGGCCTTCTGGGGGAGGATCAGGACCTCTTGGAGGCCCAGCTCAGGGGAGGAAGAACCACCCGGACTGGACAACTGGTGTTTACTAAACGTCGGCAGCCTCGAGACGGGGGTCGATGCAAACGGGGGTCAGCCAGAGCGCCGGATCTTGCAGGATCCTGCAGGGCCAGGGTCGCACTGGCCCAGGTTTGGGCGCAGGATCCTGCAGGACCTTGCAGGATCCTTCGCATTGACCCAGGTTTGGGTGCAGGATCTTGCAGGATTCTGCAAGACCTGACTGACCCGGGTCTGGATTGACCCGGGTCAGAAGATCCCCGAAAACGGCCCCAGGCGTTTGGTAACCAGCCCTGCCCTGTTCGATTCCTTCTTTGGGTGCGTTCACTAGCCGGCCTCGCGTGTCGGGGTGGTTCTTATCGGGGTGGATGTTCTGCCCTCTCTATTCTTGGAGGCCCAGTGCCGATCAGAAGCAGCGCATCGGACCTCGAGCGAGATGTTGCAGAACGGGGAGGCCAGACCGCCAGGAGCGCCCTCCTCGCTTCGAGGAGGCGCAGACCTGTACCCAGGTGCGTGGATCAGCGGCGGGTCCCGCTTCCGTGCGGCAGCGGCGCGCGCCGCCGCGCCACCTGGCGGCACTGGCGCCACGTTTCAGAGGGATTGCTTTGATGTCGGGCCTGTCCCCCTACAGGGTGATGTTCGAGGAAAATAAAAAGTACCCCCAAAAATAAAAAGGTAAACAAAGATTCAAAAAATAGCCCCAGACTTTTTTTTTCTGTTAATTTCTGGGGTATTTCTAATTTTTCGTCGAAAATCCCCCTGTAGGGGGACAGGCCCGACTTGAGATTGCTTCCACCCGCGACCACGTGCCAGATCCACGCCCGGTGAGCGATCTTCGCGGGCTGAGAGGACAGGGTGGTATTCGGTGGATGCCAAGGTGGGCTGCACCTGGCCTGGCCTGGCACAGAAAGCGAGTTGCAAGTGCCAATGCGGCGTGGGGGGGGGTACGACCCGGGCCAAGGGAGTCCGCCATCTTGGCGGAGTTATCTAACCTCACCGAGGCACTCGGGGTACTGCAACCCACCTCGGCAACACCGTGTAACCCCCTCGGTATCCCTTGAGCCCCTCCCCGCGCCGACCCAAGCACGTGGCAGATCCACGGATCTGTAATCGATGTCATCAGTGGCAACGTTGGGAGGATATAGGCGCAGAGGGGAATGCATCGATCCCCACGTCCCTTCATCGCCGATGCAGGTCCGTGTGGATTCTCCACGTGGATGCCTATCGCCAAATTGTTGACGATGTATCGCCGATCCGAGCTGGATTCGGAGAAGACAAGCGCCATAAACATAAACTTTTGATGCACCGCGCGGATTTCTTGGATCCGCGCTGGGCCCCCCTGGCGGCGCCTTTGGCGCCGCCCCTGGCGCTCCGCGCGCCAGGGAGGGGGTTCCAGCGCAGATCCAAGGAATCCCCGCGGAGCGCCAAAAGGTTGTGCTCGTGACCTTTTTGGTTCTTCGTCCATGGATGTGCCCCCCCCTCTGAGCTGGCCCCTCCCGATCGTTGCCCACCAATCCCTGGCCCCCGCGGCAGGAGCTGCCCACTGGCGGCTTCATAAACCAGTCCGACGGCACGAGCTGGATGGCCTTCTACAGTCTCACGCTCATGCGCATCGCCCTCGAGCTCGCCCGGGCCCCTGCGGCCAGATCCCCCGCCCGCTGGCATCGCTCGGACGTGTACATTTTGTCCTCGGCCAAGGACCATCGGTGAGCATTTTGGGCGGGGGGAGGAGGAGGAGGAGGAGGAGGAGGAGGAGGAGGAGGAAGAGGAGGATGAGGAGGAGGAGGAAGAGGAGGGAGGATGAGGAGGAGGATGAGACGGCAGGTGGAGGCGGAGGCGGAGGCGGAGGAGGAGGAGGAGGAGGAGGAGGAGGAGGAGGAGGAGGAGGAGGAGGAGGAGGAGGAGGAGGGGGAGGCGCAGTCTTGACCATTTCGCGAAAACAGTACATGCACGAGGAATGGGCGTCAGAGCGATGTCGGGGCCCCGACTCAGCAACTCTCTGCAGTTGTTCGAGGAACACCGTATTGTCGGAGCTCCGCGCAGATGTTCGAAGAAGATTGGCGCTCCGCACGGATTTCTTGAATCCGCGCTGGGCCCCCCTGGCGGCGCCTCCGGCGCCGCCCCTCGCGCGTTCCGCACGTTGGGGAGGGGGGTCCGGCGCGGATCCAAGAGATCCGCGCGGAGCGCCAAAAGGTGATGTTCATGCCGCTCTTTCCTGTTCTAGACATCGTGGTTGTTTCGGTGCTCCGCCTCCGCGCTCGCCGCCGCCGCCGTCGTCGACGTCGCAGTTCGGTCAGATCCGGGCGCCGCATGTTTTCTTCACAAGGGCGTTGTCGCCAGGGTTCGGGTCCTGGCTGGCACCGTCTCAGATCGACCCAGCTCAAAGCAAGATGGGGTCTCCAGTCGTCATTGCTGACGGCGTTGCAGCCCTGTCGCGCCGCCGGATCGCAGTTTGGTCGCGGTCAGAGCTGTCAGAGGATGAGGCCAGTCTGGTGTCTGGGCGCACCGTGGAGTGGGCAGGGTGGCTGTCGAGCGGGGCTGGGACAAGAAGCGAATCCGTTCCAGAGCGTTCCGGGACGCTCTGGGAAGGCCGCGGCCCCGAGGGCCTGGCGAGCACTCGAGATTGGGGTCCTTGCCCTCGCGAGAGGCACACGGGATGGGCATGGGTGGGGGATGAGAGGCGGGAGGATAGAGGAGGAGGAGGGGGAGGAGGAGGAGGAGGAGGAGGAGGAGGAGAGGAGGAGGGCGGAGGCGGAGGCGGAGGCGGAGGAGGAGGAGGAGGAGGAGGAGTCGGAGGAGGAGGAGGAGGAGGAGGAGGAGGAGGAGCAGGCGAAGGAGGAGGAGGAGGAGGAGGAGGAGGAGCAGATGCAGGAGGAGGTGGAGAAGGAGGAAGAGGAGGAGGAGAGGGAGGAGGAATAGGAATAATCATAGTACGAAGCAGAATATTAATAATACGACTATTAACCATAGACAACATCGTACGACGAACGATGATACCAATCCGAACATGAATAATGCCAGTACGATTGTTCTGGATATTAACATTTGTAGTACTACTAAGCATAAGGAGAAGAGGAGGAGGAGGAGATGGGAAGATGGGGGGAGGGGGGGCATGAGGGAGGAGGGAGAGGAGGAGGGAGAGGAGGAGGATGAGGAGGAGGAGGAGGAGGAGAGGGAGGGGGAGGAGGAGATGGAAGATGATGAGGAGGCTCTGAAGACTCTAAAGACTACCTCGAGGATAATCTCGCTCGCCGCTACGGGCGCGTACCCCGACCCCAGGGAGGAGACCAGACCCACGCAGGTTCCGATCGGGGGAGGTCCAAAAGGGCCAGGGGGCACCAGGCCCTCGGAAAACCAGCACGCCCAGGAAGAGGCCAGGAGGCCCACGACAGAACCCCAAAAGGAATCCCTCGGCACTGGACTCCCCCCTAAGGCCGCATGCAGGCCTGAACGAGATCGCAACTCAGAGAGTTGCAAGCTCCACCTCGAAGTTGGACACCACCTCCAGGGAACCTATGCACTTCACGCACAGGTCCAAAAGTGACAGAATCTCCGTAACAAAACTGTCCTCTTGTATCGGCATGCACTTCACGTACACGTTCAGAATCAGGGGGCCGAGCGCGAGCTCCTTGACGAGCTGCCGATGCGCTTCGCAAGCCAGGCTCCGAACTCGTCTCCGACATCTGCACCATCCTTGACAAAGAGCTTCCCATGCGCGCCACCCTCCAGGAGCTGGAGGACTTCTTTGAACTCCTGTTCGGATTGCGATTGAGCTTCATATACCTTGGGGCCGTCTCCTGCCACACCACCAGTGTCCACCAGCTTCGGGAAGACTGGCACGGTCGGCAAGGCGGCGTCCTTCACTTTCTTACTCTTGTCTTTCTTGCCTGTCTTGCGCTTCTTCGTGCTGTCTGCGTCGAGGAGCGCTTTGAGGCCGTCCTCAACCTGTTCCTCGGTCACGTCGGCATCATCATCCGCGCTGTCATAGTACTCCACGCTGCTCACTTTCTCCAGGGAGCTGTCGCGTACCGCACCGAGGGTCCCGAAATGTCCTCCTTCTTCGGCTTCTTCTTCTTCGCCTGAATTAGCTGCTTCCCCTGCAGCTCCTCCGGGTTCGGCGTCACCGCCGGCTGCTGCTCTTTCTCCTAGAGCTTCGTCCAGCGATTTGGCCGCTTCCATACACCCCAGCTGCTCGAGGCAGACCGCGACCTCGAGCGTGCCTTCGGCTGCGTCACCGCCTCCTCCTTCATCTGCTTGACCTCCTTGGTCTGGATGGTCTGGGCCATGGACTGCAGGCGCACCTCCAGCAAGGGGTCCGCCCTCACAGTGTCCTGGTCCAGGTCCTCCTCCTGCCTGCACTCCTCCTCCTGGTGGTCCCTCGGGGCCCGCGCCAGGTTGGACGGCTTCCGCACAAGCGACAGCACAGCCTGGGTTCCCGCACCTGGACCTTGTTGCCCTTCTTCGTGATCGGCCCGTACCCGAGGTCCGACCTGCTGCCGATCGGCCCGAACCCCAGCTTCGACGACCTGGTCCGCTCGTTGGCCTCCCTCTCCCTCTGGCCTGCCAGGATCGCCGTCTAGTCCCAGCACGGCAGGATGATGGAGCCCGCCTTGCTGAGGTGGTGCGCCAGCTGGAACGCCATCCGCGCACACGATCACCTGCCACCGCAGCTGCTCCTGGGCGCCCGCCTCGATGCCCTGCAGTAGGCGACCAAGCACCAGCCCTGCGTCGGGGGCCTCCGGGACGCTGAGGCTGACGAACATCTGAAGATCCCTGAGCATCGGCGCAGGAAAGCCATGGCACGCGGCAGCTGCGCCCCTTTCAAGAAAGGCTGCCGTCAAAGACCCCGCTCCCCCGATGCCTGAAAGGGGCTCAAGATGAGGTGGAGGAGGAGGAGGAGGAGGAGGAGGAGGAGGAGACGGAGGAGGAGGAGGAGGACGAGGAGGAGGACGAGGAGGAGGACGAGGACGAGGACGAGGAGGAGGAGGAGGAGGAGGAGGAGGAGGAGGAGGAGAGGGGATAGGAGGAGGAGGAGGAGGAGGGGAGGAGGAGGAGGAGGGGAGGAGGAGGAGAGAGAAGAGGAGGAGGAGGAGGAGGAGGAGGAGGAGGAGGAGGAGGAGGAGGGGGCGGAGGGGGCGGAGGAAGAGGAGGAGGAAAGGAGGAGGAGGAGGAGGAGGAGGAGGAGGAAGAGGAGGAACAAGAAGAAGACGTTGAAGAACCATAAGAGGAATAATAATAATAATCATAAGAACCATAAGATAATGAAGAAGACGAATAATAATAATCATAAGAAGAAGAGGAGGAGCAGAGGAGCAGGAGGAGGAGGAGGAGGAGGAGGAGTGGGAGGAGGAGGAGGAGGAGGAGGAGGAGGAAGAGGAGGAGGAGGAGGAGTTTGAGGAGAGGGAAGAGGTGGTGGAGGAGGAGGAGGAGGAGGAGGAGGAGGAGGAGGATAGGAGAGGAGGAGGAGGAGGAGGAGGAGGAGGGAGGGGGATGAGGAGGAGGAGGAGGAGTAGGAAGAGGAGGAGGAGGAGGAGGAGGAGGAGGAGGGAGGAGGAGGAGGAGGGGGACGAGGATAGGAGGAGGAGGATAGGAGGAGGAGGAGGAGTTACGGAGTTACGGGTATGGCGACTGTGTCGGTTACGAGTGGAAGCAGGTTAATCCCGCTGCTTCCTGGCTCTTCTGGCCTGTTCCTTCTTGCTGTAGACCTTAGGCCACAGACCCTGAAGAATACGCTTACGATAATCGATTCGATTACCGTCGAGGCGTGTGCTGCATTCCTTGCCAAGCTGTGTCAGCTGTTCAGCCGCAAAACTCCCGCAAACGAAACAGAACCACAACCTCAGCCCCGTGTGATACCGAAGAGTGTGAGACCCATGAGCGTACCCCCCCATAATGTGCACCCTTTGCCCAGGAGGAGGTCTACTACTGACGCCGTCCACACACTACTTAGATCAAAGCACGGTGAGCTCAGCCACTCGTTCTTACATGCGAGTGCGGTCGACCCCTTACATCGTGTGCAACAGCGGCCATTCTCACCGAGGTGGTGCGACGAGGCGAACATTGCACAAACACTTGCTGCTGGAGGCTGAACGACAGAAGATTTACGATGCCTACGCCGAGTGCTAACACCCTCATCCTGTGACAAGAGCTCCTCTGCATGTATGGCCTCTAACGTGCTCTGGAGAATGCGCATGCGTACGGCAAAAGCCATATGTTCAGCACTATGTACCCGCGCGCGTGTGCCTTCGGACAAGCGTGCAACTGCAGCTCCAGCTGCTGCGAACTCATCTGCTACTGCGTTGCCTACGATAATGTACCTAGGCGGATGCACTCCTATCATGTGTTCAGCTCCAAGGTGAGAATTAATGAAAAGAACCGTGCAGTGCAAATCTGGCTTACGAGATAACTCTTGCCCTATACGCCACCACAGGTCAGCGTCGGGGCCCGCGGGGGAGAGCCAACGAGATTCGTACCAGCCTGAGCACACTGCAGCATTATCTGTGGTGTATATAATATGTCCTGCACTCTCGCGAACATACACCCACAGACTGTACAATTCACCTCGGGCAACTGTCTGCCTACATCCTGGGAGAGCAGCCCACGTGCCAAAATCTATGTGCATGTCATCGTCTAGCGACCGAAAGAGAGCGATGCCTATCCCGACGCGACGGTGGAG